CAGCACCCCTGCGGCGGCGGCAGCGGCAGCAAGCCGTGGACCCAAACGCCGTGCCGCCGCCGCGCAGGCAGCACCCTGCGACGGCGGCGGCAGCAAGCCGTGGACCGAAACGCCGTGCCGCCGAGTCCCGTGGCTGTGGCCGTGGGCTTCTGGCAGGAAACTACGGCCGCAACTCGGCAGCACGGGGGCGTCGCAGCGTGCCCCCGCCGCCGCCGCGCTGCCCCCCGGGCACGGCGGCGGCGGCAGCAAGCTTGGGCCCAAACGCCGTGCCGCCGAGTCCCGTGGCTGCGGCCGTAGACCGTGGGCCGGAAACTGCGGCCGCAGCTCGGCGGCACGTGGTTCTGTTCAAATCGCCAAGCGTGCAGCAGCGCCGAACCACGCTTCCCGGCCTCGGCGCATGCCTTCAGGGGCCCCCTATCGCTGGGCACACCCCTCCAACACCGAACATGCGCCCGGGGGGGAGGGCGGCCCGGGCTGCCCAGGCCAAAGTGGGCCGCCCTCGAGCAAGAGGCGGCCGGTCTGTGTGCTGAATGGCCACGTCAGATGGCTAGCTATAGCGCGCTAGCGATCGCTTGCCAGGCGCCTGAAGGGGTGCCATCTTTCCATCCGATCCACACGCATTTGTAAACCGCTATGCGCTGAGCGCCACTGGCTACGGGGGTTGCTGTAGAGGCCGGCCGCCATTCACAATGTGGCCGGGAGTTCGGCTGATCGCCTCTCTGCTGTTGGTGCTGCATATAGGTGAGTTGTGGCTGAAAATGCGAGGCTCAAACCTGAAGGAAGCCGCCGCCGTGCCTCCATCACCCAAGGCCGCCGCCTCCCGAGAGGCCTCCTTGAGCAAGGCCGCCACCCGGAACCCTTCCTCACTGGCTGGAGATACCCAGCAATGATGCCTTCCCGCACGCTGACCTCCCCCGTCCTGCTGCAGCCGGCGGCGGCACGGCGGCGGCGGCGCCTGCTGCCCAGCTCGACGGCCGCCTGCTGGTGCGCTTCCGCACAGCGCTCAGCGCCGGGAGGAAGCTGACGACGGCGGCGCCGGCCCTGGACCTGCCCGCGGGCATCGCATTGCAGCGGGCCGCGGCCGGCAGCGGCGGCGAGCGGTCGTCTGGCGGCGCGAGCGGCGACGACGCGCTGGCCGCCGCCGCATCAGGGGAGCTGATGCTGGTGCGGGTCACCGACGGGCAGAGCGTGCAGAGCAAGCTGGCTGAGCTGCTGCGCCACCCAGGTGAGCAGGAGGGCCCCAGGCGGTACAAGCACACCAGTACGGGGGCCTGAGAGGCTGGGAGGGCTGCGGGGATTGCTGCGGTACAGCCGCCGCCCAGCACTGCTCCCCCTGCCGCCCGCACCCCCTGGCCGGCTAGACCCAGCTCCCGTGCGCTTGGCATCTGCACATTGCTCCACCTCTCACTCGCTTCCAGCTGGCTGATGCTCACTGGCGCCGCTTGCCCTGCAGGCGTGGAGCACGCAGAGGCGGCGGGCCCAGCCCGCCCTTGTGGCGCCCCCGGCGGCTCCCACCGCGTGCCCAGCGCCGTCAAGCTGGCAACGACGCAGGGGGCAGGGTCCGGGCCCGCGGGCCGCCGCGCCGCGCTCGAGGGCGGCCAGGTTGCCAGCGCCAGCGGTAGCGCCAGCGCCGGCAGCGGGAGCACCAGCGCCGGCAGCGAGAGCAGCGGGAGCAGCGCGCAGGCTGCACGGCGGCGGCTGGGCCAGGCCAGGCTGGAGCCTGACGACCCCAAGTTTAATGCCAGCTGGCACCTGCCCCGCGTCCAGGCGCCGCAGGCCTGGGCCCTTGCCACGGGCTCCGCCGCGGTGCGCTGGCGCTCGAGGAGGGAGGGGCCCCTTCAGGGAGGGCTGGCCCCACTGGGCCGCCCCAGCCACTCCTTGCTGCCTCCATCCTGTTTTAGAGCCTGCCGCCTGGCTTGGCTGCCCTGCCCTTGCGGTTCGCACCCGTGCGGGCATGGCTGCGGCGTCCAGACGCCGCCGGCCCCGGCGGGCCGTCGCCCTGCCACACACTACTTTCGACACGCTGAGGCAATGCCAGGCATGGGTCGCTCTGCAGGTCAAGGTGTGCATTGTGGACACAGGCGCCAGGATGGACCACGCCGATCTCAAGGCCAACCTGGTGAAGGGCTGGAACAGGCAAGGTCTCCAGCAAGCCTACGCAGAGGCCTCGCTGCGCCTGCCTGTGCTTGCCTCTGCGGGCAAGGCGGCGCACCTGGCTGCCGCCCCTGCCCTCAGCAGGCGCTCGTGCTACGCCCCCCTGTGGTACCTTGCCCATGCTGTACCTTATCATACCTTGCTCCTGTGGTACCTTGCTCCTGTGTCGTCGCTCCTGTGGTACAATGCCCTGGAGGCTGCCGCCCGGCCGCTGCATGCCCCTGCCCCGTGCCTGATAGGAAGCTGCGCTGCGCTGCGCTGTGGTCGCCTGCAGGGGGTGCACCGGCGCCTGCCAGTGGCCCGACGACTTCCTGAGCCCAGGGCAGGCGGGGTACACTTCGTATGCAGGTACCACAGCTGTGCTGCAGCTGTGTCCCGTCAAACTACTGCCTTGTACTGCTGATACCATCACCCTCGGCTGCAGAGCGCTTATTGGCTTCCTTGGCCTGCCGCCGCCGGCCTGCCGCCGACACCGCCGCCTGCCGGCTTCCTGTGCCTTCCCGCCTCGCCACGTGACCCTTCTCTGGAATGACCCCCCCCTGCCTGCAGACTCCTCTGGGCACGGCACGAACGTTGCGGGGGTGGTGGGAGCGGTGGGCAACAACGGGCTGGGCGTCACGGGGATAAACTGGCAGGTGCCGGGAAACTGTGGCAGCTGGGTCACTTTGCATGCGGGATGCCAGCATGGGGGCTTTGGGATCGGCCGGCCAGCCCCCGCCGGCGGCCTGCTGCAGCTGCCGCGTCTGCCGCAGCCGCCGTGGCCGCGCTGCCTGGTGCCTCCTGCTCTCCCCGCAGCCGCCTGCTCTCGCGCCTCCACTCCCTCGCCGCCGCCCACACCCCTTTGCCCGCTCAGCCACACCGCTAAACAACACCCTGCCCGCCTGCCGCCACCCCTGCCTGTTGCAGGTGGGCCTCGTCATCTGCAAGGCCTCGGCCCCAGGCACAGGAGTGGTGCTGGCCAGCTCCGCAGTCGTCGACTGCTTCGACCTCTGCGCCAAGGTGCGGTGGCGGGAGCTGGCTGGCTGGCTGGCTGGTGGCTGGCTGGCTGGCTGGAGCTGCTCTTGGGGTCTTGGGGCCTCTCTTATGGTGGTGAGCGGCGGTGTGGGTGTGGGTGGTATCAGCAGCAAGGGCTTCAGCTGGCCGGTCCTGGCTGGCCCCTATGCCCCACTGAGCGGTGCCCTCCCAACACCCAAACGCAGGCACTTGCATGCGCATGCCCGCCCACCACGCCACGTGCAAGCCCGTAATACACCGCACACGCGTGCACACGCCACCCTCCCCCCCCCCGCCCTGCAGGAGCCTGGAGTGAAGGTGGTGGTGGCGGCCTTTGGCGGCCTCACCCGCTCCCAGCAGCAGGCCGACGCCGTCCAGCGGCTGGCGGACGCAGGCGTGCTGGTGGTGGCGGCGGCAGGCGACGGTGAGGCCGCCGCAGCGGCCCTCCCCGGACGTGCTTGCGCAGGCCGGCCGGTTCGCGCCGCCTCTGCATGTGTTGGCGGGGCGGGCTTGCTTGCCTTTCCAGACCCAGGTCACCCACCCCACCCACGAGCATTCCTCACCCTCCTCCCACCCGTCCCATCCTCCCCATCTCCACCCCTCCCTCCCTTTCCCTCCAACCGCAGAGGGCAAAGACGTCAGCTTCGACCCAGACCAGGCCCAGTACCCTTCCTACCTGTCCCGGGAGCTAGATAACGTCATCTCTGTGGCGGCCACCAAGGAGGACGACAGCCTCACACCCTGGTCCAACTACGGCAGGTGGGGCCTGCTGTGGGTTAGCGCCTGCCATGTGCGTGTGTTTGTACGCGTGTATGGTGCGGTGGGAGGGCTGGGCAGAGGGAGCGGGCGGGAGGGCTGGGCAGAGGGCTGAGTGCCGGTAGAGAGGCAGAGAGCGCGGGAGGGACGGAGGGCGCGAGAGACCACCACCACCACCACCACCACAACCACAACCACCATCTACTGCCACCAGCCACCTCACCCTCGCCACCCTGCCCTGCCCCCGCAGCGACGCCGTGATGATCGGCGCGCCCGGCCAGTTCATCTGGACCACACACAACAACGGTACCGCGGGATATGACAGCGTGTCCGGTACCGGCATGGCCGCCGCGCTGGTGGGCGGCACCGCAGCCCTGCTGTGGTCAGAGCGGCCGGGCCTCAGCTATGATGTCGTCAAGTGAGGGCGCACCTGCTGCCTGCGCCGCCGCCTGCTGTTGGATGTGCCGCCGCCTGGTGCTGCCTGCGCTGCCGTTGCATGCTGCTGGCGCTGGTGGCACTTGCATCGGTGCTGGTACTGGCGGTGCTGCTGGTGCTGCCGCTGGTGCCGCCTGTGTTGCTGTTCGTGCTGCTGCCTTTGGCGGCCGTGGGCCTAGGCCTTGATACCCCCCACCTGCCTCCACCTGCCTCCACCTGCCTCCACCTGCCTCCACCTGCCTCCACCCGCCCCCACCTGCCTCCTCCCGCCGCCACCTGCCCCCACCTGCCTCCATTTTATGTAGAGACGCCATCCTGGGCTCTGTAGACCCCCAGGCCTCGCTGGACGGCAAGCTGATGACGGCGGGCCGCCTGAACGTGGCGGCCGCGCTGGCAGCGGCCCAAGCCTACTCCGCGCCGCCGCCGGCCCCCCCAGCTCCCCCACGTGCGTGCTTGCCTGCCTGGCCCAGGCACTGAGTGTGGTGCCTGGAGAGCCCCCCGCCCCTGCGCCGCTCGCTAGGCAGACCCACAGACCCGCTGCGTTGGGTGTGAGGCGCCGTGGCCGCTTGTGGTTGCGGTGGTGGCAGTGCTGCTGCTGTATTGCACTAGTGCTGGCAGCGAAATGCTGCAGCACAACCCCAGCCCCGCCGCCGACACCGAGGGGCATTGGTTGCACATTAATGTTGACCCTCCCCCTCACCTTCCTCGCAGCTTCCTATGCTTACGAGTTCAACACCTTCACCAGCTTCGGGCTGGTGCAGGAGGCGGAGACGGGCCGCCTGCTGACCCGCCAGCAGATGTTCAACCGCTCCGCCAGCTTCCTGTTCACCGAGTGCGCCGACAGGTGGGGGAGCCGGGCAGGCACTCATGAGTCCTGATCAGGGCTGCAAGGCACACGCTCATTGATTAAGCGTGTGCCCATGCGTGCGTGTGGGTGGGGTGTGGGGCGGCCCTCCCGGGGTGGCGCGCCGCCAGCGCCAGCCCTGCTGCCGTCGCCCGCCTGCGCCGGTACCGCCCCGCCTGTAGACGGTTGCTCCCACCTGTACTGCTCCAACTGCACACTGCCTGTACATGTACCGCCTGCACCCTGTACCGCAGGTGCATGTCCCTGCCCTGGTGCTACTGGTTCATGCACTACCCAGACAACCGAGCGTGAGTGGCACGCGCGTGCCTGCCTGCTCAGCTGCGTGATTCGCCGTCCCCGCACCGGGCTGCCGTTGCCTGCTACCACGCCCGATCCAGTGCTCTCCAGCCTGGCCACGCCTCACTTCCCTGCCAGTGCCGCGGGCCGCGTGGCGGCTGCGGCTTCCTGCCGCATTGCCAATTGGTTGCAACCCACCACCGCCGCCGCCGCCGTGATGCTGCGCAGGCTGGCGATGGTGGA